GTATGTATTACTTACAAACACTAAAATGCCTGTGATGTCACTCATATATGCTCTGTACACAAGGCATGATTGAAAAATATGGTGTGTGTTTAAATTTTAAAAAGTCTTGTAGTACAAGGTAAGTTGTCATGAATTCCTCTCCAAATACTCCCCCTATTCTGGAAGTCCTTTTTCTTAGTGTCTTTAGTTGTGTTGTTTGGATTCCTCAACGTCCTTAATCAAGACATTTACCTTTCATGGACATTTTGACTTGAAGGAAAAGCCAGAAGCCACCTGGTACCAGATGCAGCAAATAAGGTGAACAAGGACGCACTGACCGTAGTGTTTTGACGGCCCCACCTTTCCGTTGGGTGGCTGGCACTCATGGGAGCGTTCGCCATGCTTTTTTTTTTATCACACCCATGAAAGAGGACTCCAGAACTGCTTCAGAGAGTGGCAAGGCCGATGGGACGTATATTGAAACAAAGCGAACTATTTTGAGAGAGATTAATGACAATGCATCTTTTATTGCAATAAATCTTTTTAATTTAAACATGCACCATAGTTTTTGATCACCCCTCCTACGTAGCCTGTCACTGACTGAAATCTTACTATGTGGCACATAACTATAAATGTCTGTTTAATCCAGGGTGTGGTATTTTGTTACAGCAGCTTGAACAGATTAGCACATATGCTAAGAGAGCTAATATGCTAACTCCTAATTCAGTTCTTATCACGGTATATGATTCTGATTGTAGTAGGTTTCTATGAAAATATAAACATGTGATGTATACTTAGTCTGCATTTTGGGGGATTAAAATCTACACATCTCTACCTGAGTGATTCCCAGTTAATTCACTTGGTATTTATCAAGTTTGATGATTTAGAAGGATCATAATGTATAATGATTAAGAGTCTTGTTACATTTGAGTTTGGGCAGTAACTTATCACTTGCTGAATGTATAGCCTTGGTGACATTTCTTAATCTCTTCATATCTCACCTGTATAACTAATAATGATAACGATGATGAACAAATTCTTGATGTCTACTGTACAGTGACTACAGTTAGTATTGTACCGCATACTTGAAATTTCCAGTAGAGTGGTTCTTAAGTTTTCTCAGCACACAATACACAAATATGGTGATGGATATGCTAAATAACTTGACTGTGGTAATTATTTCATAATGTATATATAAATTATATAATACACTTTAATTATATAATTATAATAAAAATAAAATTACCAAATTCCTCTAAAAAGTAACTAATTATCTTAGTCTATTTGGGCTGCTGTAACAAAAAACAGTAGGGTAGATTTATAAAGAAAGCAAGTTTATTTCTCAGAAATCTGGAGGCTTGAAGTCCAAGATTAAAACACCAACAGATCTGGCACATGGTGAGAGCCTAAAACTTTGTTCACAGGTGGCAACTTCTTGCTGTGACTTCAGATGGTAGAAGAACTGAGGGAGCTCTCTGGCGTCTTTTCATAAGGGCACTAATACTGATAACTAGGGTTCTTCCCTCATGAGCCAATCACCTCCTAAATGTTCTACTTCCCAGTGTCATCATATCATGGGTAGCCTTCAAAAATTTGACCTGTGGGGGACACAAACATTGAGTACAGCACTACTGCCTAGAGTTATAGGGAATAGTTAATGCTTGCATAGTGGTGGGTGCATTATAAGTACATGGTAAACATTAATGAATGATGATGAGGGCTCCTATCACGCCTATGTACCACCACCACCATTCCCATACCATATCTGTGAGACTTCGTTATCGCGGCAATAGAGAAAAGAAAAATATGAAGTGGACTGAACACTTTTTGGCCTGAGCCTTATTCTTTTGTAGCTGATGTATGTTTTTGTTTACCAAGAAAGACTGGGGAGAGGGATAAATGAAGCTATATCACCTGTGTGACTAGATGAAGCGGTCAGGAGAATTTTGTTTTTTGTTGAGTTTATTGGTACATTTTAGCTACACAGTACAGTTACATTCATCATTGGGATCTTGTACCTTTACATGACAGGTCTTGATTCTCATTTTTTTCCCCTTTTCCCTGCCCTCCCTTCACCCCCTCCTCCCTTCCCTATTTACAAACACTTTGTTTCCATTTTTTCATTTATGAAGCGGTCAGGAGAATTTTGTTTTTTGTTGAGTTTATTGGTACATTTTAGCTACACAGTACAGTTACATTCATCATTGGGATCTTGTACCTTTACATGACAGGTCTTGATTCTCATTTTTTTCCCCTTTTCCCTGCCCTCCCTTCACCCCCTCCTCCCTTCCCTATTTACAAACACTTTGTTTCCATTTTTTCATTTCCCCTACCCTTCCCACTTCCCCTACACCTTTAGCCCTTTGTTTCCTATTTCACACTATCATTTTTTCTTTTCCCTTATTTCCTTTCCCCTACCCTTCCCACTTCCCCTACACCTTTAGCCCTTTGTTTCCTATTTCACACTATCAATTATACCATTTGGATCTTATTTACACTTTTAGTTTTTCACACCAGAGAAACTATTTGGTATTTACACATGTGTGACTTATTTATTTCACTTAGGAATATATCCTCAATATGCATCCATTTTCTGATGAACGAATCTAATTTTTCATTCTTTATGGCTGAGTGGTATTCCATTTTATAGAAAAACTACATCTTCTTTATCCAGTCTCCAACTGATGGGCAATTGGGCTGTTTCCAAGTTTTAGCTATTATAAACTATGCCGCTATAAACACGGGTGAGCATATATCATTGTGGTATGATTTTTAAAAATTCTTTTGAAAAGATACCCAGCAGAGGGATGGCTGGGTCAAATGGAACCTCTAATCCTAGTGCTTTGAGTTACCTCCATATTGATTTGCACAGTGGTTGCACCAGTGTGCACTCCCACCAACAATGGAGCAGGGTTCCTTTCTCCCCACAGCCCCTCCAGCATTTGTTATTGGCTGATTTCTTGACAGCAGCCATTCTTTGTGGGGTGAGGTGAAATCTCAGTGTTGTTTTCATCTGTATCTCTTGAATGACCAGTGATGTGGAACATTTTTTCATATATTTACTTGTGCTTTTACTTCTTTGTCTGAGAGATGCCTGTTCATTTCATATGCCCATTTTTGAATTGGGTCTTTATATTTGGGGGGCCTACTTTTTTTGAGTTCTTTATATATTCTAGATAATAGTCCTTTGTCTGAGGAGCAGCTGGTGAACGTGTTTTCCCACAATGTAGGTTGTCTCTTAGATCTGTTGGTGATTTCTCTTGCAGTGCAGAACCTTTTTAATAAGATGAGATCCCAGTTGTTGATTCTTTGTGCTAGTTCCCATGCTAATGAGGATTTGTTCATAATCTTTTCCTATGCCAATGTCTTTGAGAGTTCTGCCTAATTTATCTTCCAGCAAGTTTAGTGTTTCTGTTTAAATATTTGGATCTTTAATCCACTTGGATTTTAGTTTAGTGCATAGTGAAAGATAAGGGTCTAGCTTTAATCTTTGGCAGGTTGAAACCCAGTTTTTCCAACACCATTTATTAAAGAGGCTATCTCCATGCTTGACTGTCTCCAAGGCAGAAACTTGACCGTGGAATGGCCCATTAGAGGAAAATTGTTCACCACATGATAGCCAGGAAGTAGAGAGAGAAGAGAAGGGAGCGAGGATCGCTGTGAGTTCGAGACCAGCCTGAGCTGCATAGTGAGCTCCAAGTCAGTCCCAACTACATAGTGTGACCCCGTCTCAAAAAACCAAAACAAAAAGAGAAAGGAAAGTAGAGGGAAGAAAACACATGTAAATAGCCATGAGGCCCGAAAGGAGCTCAGTCTACTCATGGGGGCTTGGGTCAGTTTGCAAATCTGTTTACTGTGAGTGGCTGTCCTGCTTGTCACCTGATGTGGGATCCCGGGATACCGTAGTGGAGCTCATTGCTAGAGGTTGTATAGTACCTCTTCCTATCAGCTGGACAATAAGTACTTCTCATAAGGTGTCTAGGGGGTACATCTCCATGACAAGTATATGGCAAACGTGGTACCATTTGTCTAGGCAGCCAGCAGCCTTATGTGAGACTTGCTGTAGCATCCTACTTGTACAGGTGGTCCTCAGGTACAGGACACAATCTGAACCACCAAGGTGACCACAAACTTTGTTCCCAGCCCAGAATCCCACATACCATCAGGCATACTTATGTGATAAGAGGCACATGCAGGTAATTCTAAAACTGTTTCCCTCCCAGGAAACTCATTTTCTTTTTAGAGGTCTTTTGAAGACCATGATGAACCTATAGAAATGCTGCAAGAGCAGAGAGTTAATGCTGCTGCAACAGACAACAGTAAGGATTGGTTTTTGTAGTAGATAAGCCTTTCCTGTCTCATGATACAACCCAAAGGTGCTCACCTCTTAGGCTTCTGATGTGGTTGACCTTGGGTGAAGTTGCACTGCTGTTCTACTATGAGGTATGATCAAAATATATGCTGAATGTTGAAATTTTAAAAATGTATCATAGTATAAGACACATTGCCACAAATCCCCTTAAAATATTTCCTATTGATTCAAGCTTACTTTCTCCATCATTCTTGTCATTTTCTGTAACAGTTCTGGAAGTCCTCTTGTGTGAGTCTTTACAAGGTGTAATGAATGCTGCTACCCAGTGCCACTGAGGATATAGGGGAGGCAGCCACAACAGCGCAACTGAAGACGTGAAAGAGGATTTCTAGAAGTGCTTCACAAAGTGGCAACAATGATGGGGTAAATGTGTTTAAAGCAAGTCGGAAGATCTTCAAAGAGCATTAATGGCAATGTGTCTTCCATAAATTGAAAAAATAATTCATTCTATTTTCTATCTGGACATTGTAAATTCTCTCAGTGGTAGGTGAGGTGGAAAGGATGGAGCCAAGGAGTTGGAGTTTGTTCAGTTAGTAGCTATGTTGCTGGCACATTTTCCATCCTGTAGCTAGTAGGTGCATAAGTAGATTTCCTTTTTTTTTTTTATACACTTGATCTCAGCCAAAAGGCCGAGAAGTGATACATTTTTTAAAATATGGAAGTCTTCACAAATTTGTATGTCATCTTTGCGCAGGGGCCATGCTAATCCTTTCTGCATCGTTCCAATTTTAGTATATGTGCAGCTGAAGCCAGCACTAGATTTGCTTTTAAAAAAGGGAAAGGATTATTTGCTGAGTATCAGCCATGCATGTTGGTTCTACATACCTTATAAAAAAAATCCCATTTAATCTGGACACAAATATGAGATAAGAGAAAGCTGTTGAGGTTACTAACAACTGGGAAGTGACAGGAGCTGCGGTTTGAGCCCAGGACCCTTTACACAACATCTCCTTACTTGGTAGCACTTAGTGGTGACTTCAGCAAGGTTACATATGAATGGGTGGGTAGAATACAGTGCTGATGGTTTTGGTTCTCTGTCATGTTGTGTCTTACCGTGCATGACTAGCCTTTGGGGATTTCTTCTTCTTTATCCACTGGCCACTTGGAATTCATGCAGGGTAGTTTTCTTTTTTCTTTTCATGGTGTACAGAAGCTGGATTCTTTGTAATTTCCTTCTTACTCCTTTCCTTCCCCAGTGACTGGGGGAGCTTTGAGCATGCTGACGGTGGTAGGTGCAATCAGAGTCACAATTAGGCAGCGATTCACATTATGTAAAAGATTCATCACACCAATTGATGTAAAATGACACACCATCCTGCTTGGCATTGATTGCCGAATCCTTCAGTCTCAATGGTTTGGTTGCAATCACTTTTTAGGCGAATGCCCTTCTAAGGTGTCATTATGGGCAATCTGACAGGGTGTGTGTGTGTGTGTGTGTGTGTGTGTGTGTGTGTGTGTGTGTGTGTGTGTGTGTGTGTGTGTGTATTGTTGCTGTTGTTACAGAACTGAAATCTTTCAGTTCACCAGTATCATGTGTAGTCACCCATCTGGCTTCTACCTTGATTTGGGAGTTTTAGTTAGTTTTAATCTACATCAGTGGGACATCTCTACATCTCTAGATGGGTACCTGGTTCTAATGGCCACCTCACTCCCGCAAGACTATGTGTGTGGTCTTGTGTGTGCCTCTCTTGCCTTATCTGTCCTCCCAGTCACTGTGGGCATGCATTGGGCTGGCCTGGCCTCCCACTGGGCTGAGTCGGGAGGCTGAGGAGGTCTTGCCCCAGAGCCAGAATGTTGGGCCCCACGCAGATGGTTCTATAACTTGCTGTTAGAAATGCACAGGACAAACAGTTATTTATAGGTTCCAACAGCAGAGCTACAGTCTCAGATACTGAGCATACCTAACTGCATTATCTATAGATTCAGCACTTGGGTTTTAGGACTTTTGGGGCTCCTTCCTTCTTTCTTTTCTTCTGTTTTTCCTTCCCGTCCTTTCCTTCCTTCCTACTTTCCCTCCTTTCTTCCTTCTTTTTCTTCTTTCCTATCTTCCTTGTTTCCCTCCTTCCTTTTTTAAAAAAATTGAGAATTCATTGGGTGAAAACAGCCACTCCCACACCCACAGGCTGGTTCAGGTAGGTCGGAGTCCAAACCTCCACTTCCTGTGTCATGGGTAGTGTGGGGACTGAGTTCCTGAGCTGCTCTTCAGTCTCCTAATCCAAGTGAGAGACGTGGGAGGACATCGAGGCCTCTGAACACAGCCATAGCCCTGACTCTGGTCACAGATGCCGACGTGGGGACACTGAGGGGGCAGGACTGCCAGCCAGAGGCGGCCGTGGCCCTGTGGATCCTCAGCACCTCTGAGGCTGACCACATGACGCTGGGCATCCGCTGGGCACAGGCTGGGGTGCTGCCCGACACCCCAGCTCCCAGCACGGACTCTCGTGACCGCGGGCTGCCCAGTTCCAGTGCCACTGTGCCAAGGCTGGGAGGCCCTGTCCTGAACTAGCAAACGACCCAGTCAAAGTGTGACCAGAGAGAAGTGAACCTCACCACTGCTCCGCGCTTGCGCGCATCTGTCTTCACACTCACAGGGGAGGAGGATGGCATTGACAGGAGGTGAAGGGACGAGGATGCGAACCCAGAGCACAGGTGTGGGGGACCAGGAGGATGTGCGAGGGATGGGGAAGACGGGAGGAATTTCACTTCCGTGTCAGAGGATGAAGCTGAGTCAGGGCTTGGGAAATACTTGGGTACTGCAGACTAATTTGAGATTCTCCGGTAATTTTCTTTAAACTCATGGTTGTCCTGTTCACTTTCCTTTCCCTGGGACAAATACCTGACACCCACAACTTAAATGGGAGGAGTTACTTCCCCTCATGGTTTTTGAAACAGCATGGTGAGAGGGTCTGGCGGAGGAGAGCTGCTCAGGGCAGGGCGACCCGGGGACAGGGAGGAGCCGGGGAGGAGCCGGGGAGGAGCCGCCTTCAGGCCACGCCTCTGCGACGCCTCTCACCAGGCCCCGCCTCCAACAGCAGTCAGGCTTGGGGCCCGTTTGAGATCCAAACCAAAAGGGTGGAGCTTATAAACATGTGAGCCGCCCTGTGCCCCAGGCCCGGTGGACGCCACAAGCACAGAGCAGACTCTGGACCCCAGCAGAGGACCCTGGCTGTCTCCTCGCGACGTGGGCACCTTCAGTTCTAGGGCCGGTTGCTTGTGCTGCTCCCCCTGCCTCGGTAGTGCTCAGGGGAGGCGCACACACGTGCACACACACACACACACACACACACACACACACGCACACAGAGTAAGGTGGGCCGGCAGCATGTTCACAGGCAAGTGATTCAACAATTATGTTTGTCGGGAGAAGGGAAGAGAAGGAAGAGAAAAGGAAAAAGAATAGAAGGAAAAAATGAAAACAGTTTTTGTAAATAAGGAAGGGAAGAAGGGAGTGGAGGGGAATGGGAAAAAAGAATTAAGACTGTGATGTATAAGTACAAGTTCTCCGTGATGAATGTGCTCATGTATCGGTAGAATTAAATTTAAAAAGAGAAAAACCCAAAAATTATATTTGCATACATTCATTGCGATATATTTACAAATTGTACCCATAGGAAAAGTTATTTTTATTATGTTTTATCAGAATGAAATACAGTAAGATATGGAGTAGAAAAACATTTGAATCGCAGCACAATATATTTCACAATAACTATTATATACTTTTATAATAATTTATAATTTAGTTTTTGCAACTTCACAAAAGCAATAAATTGTATTGTTTAACAATACAAAGGAGGAAATTATTTTCTCAAAGAAAAAATCCTACTTTAACTATACAGAAAATGCAGCAATCTTAGGAGGGGCTGCATTGAGCTTTATAGATGGAAATAGGTATCAAAGGTGAGAAGTACATTAACAAAGCATTATGGTGAATACAGAGTATTTTTAAGTGATGTTTCCTTTGGAATCACATGCCATTTGGGAAAAGAAGACAAATATTGCAAATTTTTGCAGCCTTGAAGTTTGGCATATGGAGTCCTTCTGAGGCTTCAAAAGGGATATTAGCTAGCAAACAATGTATGAAAGTTTATGTACCCAAATTATTGGATAAATGAAATTCATTGGGTGAAAACAGAAGGCTCCTCTCTCCTACGCTTGCAAGTTTAATTCAGTGAGTTATATTTAGTTAAAATAAATTTGTCTTAGAACCAAGTGAAAACTCAGATTGATCTATAGTCTAGATACCCACCTACCCAATTTTTGTCCACTTTTCCCCCAAGATTTCAATGGTAAGATGGCATTGTATTTTTCTATGTACAGTTGGGAGGATTGACTTCCCTAAAAACTGTTTTTTTTTCAGCTTTAATTGACTTTATTGGTACATTTTAGGGATACAGTACAGTTACATTCATTGTTGGGATCTTGTACCTCTACATGACAAGTCTTGATTCTCATTTTTTCCCCTTACCCCTGCTCTCCCTTCACCCCCTCCTCCCCTCCCCATCTACAAACACTTTATTTTCATCTTTTCATTATCTCACATTTTTTTCTTTTTCCTTTTTTCCTTTCCCCTACCCATCCCACCTTCCCTACACCTTTAGCTCCTTTCTTCCCATTTCTAAATGTCAGTAATCTTATTAGGATCTTATGTATTATTGCAGATTATTCACACCAGGGAAACTATTTGGTATTTACACATGTGTGACTTATTTCACTTAGGAGTATATCTTCAATATGTATCCATTTTCCTATGAATGAATCTATTCTATGAAGAAATACATCTTCTTTATCCAGTTTCCAAAGGATGGGCAAATGGGCTGTTTGCAAGATTTAGCTATTACAAACTGTGCTGCTATAAACATGGGTGTGCATACTTCTCTGTGATATGATTCTTTTAGTTCTTTTGGAAAGATACCCAGCAGAGGGATGGCTGGGTCAAATGGAACCTCTAGTCCCAGCTCTTTGAGGTATCTCCATATTGATTTCCATAGTGGTTGCACCAGTCTGAACTCCCACCAACAATGGAGAAGGGTTCCTTTCTTCCCACAACTCCACCAACATTTGTTATTGTGTGATTTCTTGATAGCAGCCATTCTTTGTGGGGTGAGGTGGAATCTCAGTGTTGTTTTCATCTGTATCTCTCGAATGACCAGTGATGTGGACCATTTTTTCATGTATTTACTTGCTGCTTTTACTTCTTTGTCTGAGAAATGTGTGTTCATTTCGGATGCCCATTTTTGAATTGGGTCTTTATATTTGGGGGAGCTGATTGTTTTGAGTTCTTTATATATCCTTGATAATAGTCCTTTGTCTGAGGAACAGCTGGTAAAAATTTTTTCCCACATTGTAGATTGTCTCTTAGTTCTGCTGATGGTTTCTTTTGAAGTACAGAAGCTTTTTAGTAAGATGAGATCCCAGTTGTTGATTCTATCTGCCAGCTCCCATGCTACTGAGGATTTGTTCATAAAGTCTTTTCCTATACCAATGTCTTCCGGAGTTCTGCCTAACTTACCTTCCAGCAAGTAAGATACTGAGGCTTGGGTCCCAAAGTGTTGTTCGGCAGGCAGCAGGTGAGGGCTCTTTCTGGAAAGACAATATGTACCTTTGCTTTCTCTTGGTGAGGTTATTGGTCCCAAGTGCTGAGTTACACAAATGAACAATTTAGCTCTCTCTTAGAATGTGAATCTTACTAATTGTGGGTATGAAAATGAAGTCTGAGCTCTGAGCTGTTGAATGTGGGAAGAAGGCAGACATTTTCA